TACTGTGTAAGACAAAGTCGAGGGGAACCCACTTCAGATTCGGTTTGTAGCGTCTCCTTACACTTTGAGACCACAAATAGTAATTTAGCTTTCCCAAATAGATTATTATCAATTATGTTCGACTTCAGCCCTGATGATGAAGACAGAATGTTCCTCTCAAAAATAGGTTACACAAACCTCTTCCATAAGGTGCAAACACCGAACAAAAGGATCGTTATGAACAGCAATGAATTTCACATATATTTTAAATATAATTGCCCGTTCTTCCCCTTTGTAGTGTTGCATGTTGTTATTATCTTTGCTAAACGTAGGCCATATAAGGCATGCAAAATAGTTAAGAGCGTAAAACGCGTGTCCTACCTCACAACTCTTGTTTTATTTTGGGGAACTCTGGGTCATAGTCCTGGCTTTTGCGTCGTAGCCAGTCTTGGTACTACATCCTAGCTGCTACGACGGTATGTTGTAAAGACCCCAAGGCCACTTGATAAAATTAGATAACCTATAACGCTCAGAAGTGAGTCGTTCACAAGCATGGAAGATTTTTGCAATGCACATTTCACTAAACCATTTCGATATGCCAACTTCGAAAATCGTAAGCCACTTGTCTGCATACACCATCGGGACGAATCTGTGCGTTCGACGTCCGTTAGATGTAAAAGGCGTAAGGAATTGGGAGGGGGAGCAGACAAGAAAGCATTGCCACATCGGACACACTATTTCCCAGCGGCAGTACTTTGTATCTCGCCGTTTCAATTCTTGTGTCGGTAATGTTTTTGTTTTGCATAATATATGCTTTTGTTTTCCTAGTGACGTGAGCGAGACGCACAGTTTGATCCCGGGTACTGTACCTCCATAGAAAACCAGTCAAATCAATGAAACAGCACTTGAAGCTAGTCTGAACGGAATGTCGGTGTCGAGTGGTTGTAAACCCAGTTTCGTATTCTGGAAATCCTGGGATCATTTATTTACCTAAAAAAGCCTTTATGTAAAATGCAATCCCGTGTTACCTAATTCGTTCCAAAATTAATTTCGTCGACATTCTGTAATAAAGATAGTAAATACCAACCATTTTACGCTACATAAATGGCGCCAAATCCTACTCGCTTAACTAACAATGCATTCTTCAGCCCAAAGTTGTCGTAGAAGTAATAAAATTATCAACATCCTCGAACTCTAAAAATGAAGAAGCTTAAAAAGATGTTATATATGTAAACTGCGCATAAAACAATAAATAACTGTACAATGCCTACACTTAAATCAGTTTTCTAAAAAAGCAGTAGTAATCTACTCAAATATCTAAACCTTCCTGCTTTATTTGACCATTATTCAACTTACAGGATTAAACGGTTTAAAAGATAGGTTAAAGCTGTCCCTGTCCTTAACTAAGCATTAGGCATACGTCACAAAGACGTATGGGGAGCCGAGCTTCAGTCATTCTTATCCTCGTCAGTAGATGAAGGTGAGTGGTCAGATTTACGCTCCAACCTCTTTACTTCAGGAGGAGAAACCTCTTCGTACTCACTAGACAAAAGGCTAGGTGATCCCCAAAAAGCTTGTATAGCGGTGGCGAAGATAAAATTCCATGCCCCCGTAGGTAATCGAACCCCGGTCATTCAGCAGACAATCAGTCGCAACTGCCAACATTTTAGCATAACTGAAAGGAAGTCTGTTAATAAAAAGGACAACTGCGGTTTTGTGGAACGCGTCACAAGTTAATTCAGAAGGAAAGTGAAGAGATCCAAAGGCATTACTGCTGTCCCCCTCCCCCTGTTCTGTTGCCTTGGGAGGCAGGACAGCAATCTGATAAAAACGCGAAGGTCAGCTATCCCACGCGTGATAATCAGCTGCACGTGGTACAAAGGTCTAATCACTATCGTCTGCTTTGCTGTCTCTAGGAAAATTCCCAAACCACTTCAACGAACTGATTAACAGACTCGTATATGATCAGTAATGATAAACAGAGGTGCGTTCAAATACCACGGAAACATCGTTGCACTCTTGTATCGTATTTAACAGGTTCCGAGTTCGAAGTTAAATCAGAAGGCGAGATAACCCGACAGAGGCAAACGCTGAGACAGCATCTTAAAACATACCACGACCGCTTTATGTCACATCTTTCCCAATTTATTATTTTCAACAATCCAACCATTCTACACCGACGGAAGTCGGAAAACCAAAAAATGGCATCTTAGAAAATAAATTATAACATTTATTAATGTATGCACACATATAATTTATTTTCACACCAACAGCTTTTCTTGTCCAATGTCATTTGCTTGAGGCAAAGGCCAAATGCAAGATTGTGGTGATGTACCATAGACGCCGTGAGAACCTCAAATATACTTTTTTGTGTCTGAGAAGATTTGAGCCTAACAGAGAAGAAGTAACATAGCATAATGACCTTCATGGTCTCTAGCGGTAGTGTATTTCAGACGAAATATGCCATTACACAATTGTGAATAAATGGCTTCAGAAATAAATTCAGAGACTGCATAACAGAACAAAGATACGCGAGAATTTTTAATGTATATATCTTGGTATGTTATTTAACAAAGCTTCCTCAATTTCAGCGGTTATTTTAACGTCGAATGAAATAATTATCACCCTCGTCAAACACGGGGAGGTTGCGGGCGTGGCCTGTTTCAAATATACACCTAGTCACTGGAAATGAAGTAATTGTGGCCCATTTGACGGTTCCACAGACGCTAGAAAGAAAGTAGCAATGGTCTGTTCCAAAGTTTCAACCAGGCACTGGGAAGGAAGTGGTCAAGGTCTACTTTAGACATTCTCCACGTATTCGCATGGATGGTCTGAGGAAAACTACGAAGAATCTCAGTCTGGGTGGTCGGCTTCTCGGTCGAGACTAGAAGCGGAAGCCTTCCTAATACAAGTCAGAAGCTTTACCATATGAGACAAGATGCTCGGTGCTAAAAATGTGTGGTCTGCATTTGAACACAGAAAGTTGTGATACTATTCGAACCCGGCCGCTCAGACTGTTGTTGAAGCCGCTGATCATGCCGACAACCAACGAAATGTTGAATTTATCCCATACCAGTTATTACTGAGACAATACTGAATGAATGACAGAGAGCATGCAACATTTGCTTGTAGAACAAGAGAAAAACGAAATTAATCTATCCATACACGGATTCGACAAAAATGATTAGTGGGCCCCAATCCAGATTCAACGAGTGTGAACATCTTGAAAACACAGAGCAGTTCAAGGAATCGTCTATGAATTAATCATTATCAACATTATTTTATGTCTTTTCAAATATCCATAAGTGTGGTGTTAATGAGAAAAAAATATGTTTTTAATTCAAAATTATAGGCGCTATTATTTTTGTGAACGTACCTGTGTTCCGTATTGTTTCAATTTGAATTTCCTGCATGTCTCTTGTCAAATAAAAACATGGTACCAGCCTTCGAATTTTCTAAGGTACACATATAAATGTTCATACACAGACGTAAAGGCAAAGGACAAGAGACGCTCACAGGCACGCTGTGTTAGTTACGTATGGGCAGTTTTTCGTCACGCTACGCCAGCTTGCTGCTCAGCTCGTAGATGAGCTACCGCCTGGACTTGCGAAAGACAAGAAAGGGAATTCGCAGCGCGCTGCCGTCTGCGCATCGTAAGGCGAAAAAGCCTCGCGTAGTTCCAAACCAGCTGCAATCCAGAATTTTCCAAATGCGTCCTTCGCTATTTCCCACACCTCACTGGCCTTGACGTTCAATACTTGCACAAACTGGTACATTCTAACGCTGGTATAACCTGCGCTGCAAAGCAACTGCACTATACACAGGTCTAAAATGTACTGCAATAACACATTCTTCCTGTGACATACAAGCTGCAGATCTTGAGGTCTAAATTTTATTAAAAAACCATGCACTACATTCATTAAGTGGACTACTTTTGTTAGCACTTAGGCGATGCTAAAATAAAAATGTATCCACGCGACAGGGCAGCTCAAAATGTAATTCGTCTCGCAGATAGCAAGACATTTTTGATTGGAAGTATGTCGATACTACCCTGAAATAAAAATTTACACGTACACAAGACGTTTTCAATTTTCATCCTGTTCTATTTCCTAAACGCTGCCGGGATGGACCTTTTCATTACGGTTCCAACCCACTTGAAAAACGGCATTCTTTCGCCCGAATAAGCACAAGACAAACCCAGAAGCATAACGTAATAAATCAACAATTTTGCCACCAAAGAAGTTTTTCCTTCTCCGAAAACGACTCTAACGGAAATAATATTCTCACACAATTTGTACATGTCGCTCTTTTCAAAACACAATCCCTAATTTACACGCGTCTAAGCCATTTCAAAAATAAACAGATTTTTCTGTTAATTTTCATAGCTTTCACAAAAATACTCTTGAATTACGTTTACGCAATCCCTGTTACAAAGCGGGCATTTGTACTTCCCTATCGTCAACAGATGGAACTAGCGTGCTCAATAGCTTTCTTTCCTACTTCACAGATGGCAATATACATCACCCACTCCATCTGCACTACATTCGAACCATCATTCCGCAGGAATACCAATAGCCATAAATCTCAACAGATACATTCCCACGTCGTTTAAAATTCACCCACAGCCACAATGGCATACTCCCCAATTAGCCTTCACCACTCATCCTGCCTCATTTGGGGCTACCTTGCATTACATTCTTTGCATTTTAATTTCTAAGAGAATACATTACACATGAATAAACAGCTAAAATGGTTAGGATGAAATAAAAACGGCATTTTAAACTTCTATCCACTTTTAGTCACTCCATGAAATTACAATTTCACTACAAATTCCCTACTGTTACAGTAGTTTTCCATTCAAGAATTCCCATAAAAATATGCCAAAATTGAAAACTACTTGTAAACTTTTGTCCCACTTTCTTTTAACAATAATTATCAAATGTTGGAATGAGCAGAACTTTGTTAATGAAGGTCAGAGATTGACCGCCCAGTAGTTACAATGGAAAAACACTTCTTTTAAATTACTTTTAAGAAACTGGTCATACAATTATTTTATGCACACACAGAACACAAATCTACATGTCAGATTTCTTTTACTATTAAAATGCAGGTTCTCTTTTCTTTATAGTTTCCTCTTCCAAAGAAGAAATGTTGACAGCAGTAAATACATTCATTGTATGGTTACAACTCACTGAACTTTATTGCCCATTTTACTGAACTGCTGCAGAATAATCAGGATCACATTGCTGGTAAATGTGAAGGTGCACATTCTTGACTAAGTGGTCAGATCCATTCAATGTTGAGGTTGTGTTCTATTTTTTCAAAATCTTTGTACAGTAAAATTGGGGTTCTTTGTCACAATAAAAAGAAAATGTTAGCTATTCTATGTTACAGCCTGACGAAAAACATTTTACAACCAAGATGAGAGTAAACACATAAAAAAACCTTGAAGGTGAACATAATCCTCATGTTATTACAAAATATTGTTCCTTTCACAACTTAAATCACACACACAACAATCGTCATAGCATTTGGTTGGTACTATATTGTTTTTTCTTGCCATCATTTTTATTCCAAGAACATTCATGCTGTGTTGTCTTTGCCAAACATATGTCAAATTCTCCCTGCTTACAAACTCATACATAGGGGGGAGATGGTCTTATAGAAACAGAAATTAAAACAAATCAGAGAAAAGGAAAACTGCCCATGTCCATTTTAAATTATTTTAAATAGAAACCATTTCATGTTGAATATATTAAAAAAATTCCCCCCACTTACGTTGCAATTTATTTCCCGTGCTAAAACCTGGAAATAGGGAGTGAGAAGGTAAGAACTGGGAAGTTGCAATTTTTCTTTCATTCCTTCGATGCTATGCCACACCATGACCTCACAGAGGGCTCGAGCTGATGAAGTAAAAACTGCACTCAATTACACACACACACATATACAAGGAAACAGAGGGCTGCCAATTCACAGGAAATAAGATATCTTTAAACACTGACAGGCCTGCTGAAGTATCAACCCTTGTATTTCCAAGCACCACAGCACACGCCATTTTATTAATCCTGTGACAACGGAGAAAAAGAGGAAAATAAAAAATAATAAAAATAAAAACCTATTTATCAGGGTGAGAATGTCTATCCATTGTCATTTATTAGAACAAACCTAGGCATCTTTCACTCCTTAGTTCCAAGCTTTACCGGGAAGGCAGGAAACACTCACTCGCTTGGTTTTTTTTAAGTCTCTGCCACTCTCTCCTCATTATGCATCATCTTCATCCTCCTCCCCTTCCCCATCCCCTTCACCTTCATCATCCTCTTCTTCTGTAATACAAAATGAAAATATTTTCAGCAACAGAGTTCTAACATGCAAGCCTATGTATGGAGATGCAGTATCAAAAGTGTAACAAATTCAAGCAATCCATTACAAACAAAAATATTACACAAACACTCAGTACTTTGAAGTAGCCTGAAAATGAATTAGAATGATCAAAACTAATATAATATAAATCTTCAAATCCAACTTGTTACAGTATGTCCCACCTAACGTTGAACCTGCAATGACAACAGCAGACTGGCAGATAATACACTTTTATATATAGTATCTACATTATCCAACTGTATTATGTAATGTCACTTACTGCATATTTTAGCAGGTGTTTGAAATTACTTCCTTAAAGGCAAGCTTGACACCAGAACATATTTAAAGAATTGTGAAGTTCTTGTTTAAACACTAATACCACATGCCCAAGAGTTTAGGTTCATCCAATGCGTGTGTGGCCAGTTTTGATAAATTATTGTCTTTTGAACTTTCTCACAAAGAGCCACATGATTTCAAATTGGGGGAATGAAAAGGCCACAAATGACAACCGGTTATTTGCCCCCAAAACACTTATGTAAAGGTAATCACTGAAATACTGGCTACATGAGTGATAGCAAATCAACAATAGATCAACTTCATCACTACTGCTTCACAAAACCAGCTAAAGAACTGTAGTCATAACACAGTCTGCCTCCTTGAGCTATTGAGTGACTAAATTTGTATGGCTTCAAATAAAACATGTTTGGGGCCCTGTGCACAGACTGTGATACACCAGTTTGCTCGGATAACCACCTTGATTTCTATGGGGATGCTTCTAATGTTATGTCAACCAGTTTTACCTGAAAGAACATCATATGTGCTCTCACTTCTCTAAGAAAGAACCAGTCATTCAACATGTGTTCACTAGTCAATGTATCATCATTTTCAAAAGAACTTACACTCGAAAACATTCCAAATTTGCTATGGCACTTATTGTGGGATTTCTTCTTTACACAGGTTTCAACAGTGTTAACCTACAATATGCACTGAATGCCAAGCAGGGGAAATTGTAGGCGACCCAGGTTTGGCATCGGTGATTCCCAAATGTAAAACTTTTCACAACCCAGTTTCCAGCCAACACAAAAAATTATGGCCCAGAGCTTAATATGTGACACACGTGATTATGCATAAATGACAGTACAATACTCAGAAACAAAGGTCCACACTAATATACATTTCTCTGTAAATTCCCACTTATTATAAAACAAGAGCATTCCAAGTGTCAGTCACAGTACTGCTGTATAAGCCTACCTGATACAACAATTTTACACTATTCCACCAACCTGTTTGGCAAAAGGGAATTACTGTCTACAGTTTGTGGGCGGGAAAAAAAATTCATGCAGATGCCACAGAATCAAAACTTTGGGATATGGATTTTCTCACTTCCACATTTGGACTGGCTAATTTGGGATTCACTCTAGCACCAATCCAATGGGAGGATCTTCTACAGGATTTAACAGCGAAAGATGTTCACCCCAACTTATGCAAGTATAACATGCATGGAGCTTTACATCCAAGTCCCACACACACCTTCATGGACTGGGTAACTTCTACGCAATGCTGGATCAACTATGAATATAATTTTGCTCTGAAAGAGGTATGATAGGTGACTAATAACAAATCGAAACAAATGAAGCAACGCAGTCGCTTTGTTTCAAGGCAATTCCCAACAGAGCTGGGGGGGGGGGGGGACATCTCCAAATACCCTGACCTCAGTCTGGGAGTTGAAACCAGACACTTCTCCAACAGATACATTAATGCTGCGCCAACCTGGATAGACACACAGAAAGATGATGGATGGTGCTGCTCCCACCTGGGCAAGAGAACTGAAAATTGTACAACAGGATACACCTGCATCACATATTTCACAAGTGGTTAGATATTCAAGTTATAACCAATGTATGAACACAGAAAACAATCCTTTGAGCTTCTCATCCCTGAAGATTAAAGGAAGCAAATAAATACCTACAACTTTATGTGAAGGCTAACAGTTAGAAGAATGATGCTTTAATAGACCAACATACCACATAGAAGAGATTCTAGCACCAAAAACCAATTCAATGAAATTAAATACATACTTAATATTAATAAAAATTATGTGATACTCCTACAGAAAATATTCGTAACATACATGTAAACATTTTAGATACTGCTTCCATGGTTTTGGAAGAGAGAAATGTACAGAATACAAGAAAACAACATAAGACTATTAAATAAAAATACATGCACAGAAGTAAACAAATGTTGGCTCAGACCAACATGCAAGCACAAGTTACTGAACTTACACTGGAAAAATTTATTTTTCATAGTCACAAGTGTGCGAGTACACGTAAAAACACACAGATATATGTAACAGCATAAGCTACCAAAACAAGATGAACACCCACTTTCAAGAGACATTAGTATATGATAAAAACACCTAAATGAATATTCTGAACAAATTTCACCCCATTTATGGATAACTTTCTGATCTCAGACCTTTACAAAACCTAACTATACGAATATCAATTTCATTCAATTATGTATGTTAACCAACCTCAAAATTATAGTGGTATGTATAAGAGAATGTATGGACAGCACAAATACAAATGCAGATGAAGAAGTTAAAAGACTTCATGCTGTGTTCAGAATAAGTTATCCCATGACAAGATCAGCAAGAGTACTGCACTCTGCAGACAGTGCATAATGATGCAATACCACTCCATCTCTACAAACTGTACTGATATCAGAAGTGTACAATTTTCCTATAAACATGAATTATTCATAATAATCTGCAGTTTTGTAACATGTACTCTCTGAAGTCAGCAACTAGCATTTTCTTGTTACTGCTTCTTACCCTCTCCTTCATCTAGCTCCTCTTCCCCCTCTGGCAGCTCTTCTTCCTCATCTTCTTCCTCTCCTTCAACATCTTCCTCATCTTCAACATCCTCCTCTTCTTCTCCATTCTCCTCCTTCTTGGGCTTTTTTGCATCCTCACTTTTCGTCTACAGATGGAAAAATCAGAATATAACCCAAAGAATAGAACCAATGCACTGAGTTATTTGCTACTTAGAGTTAGTGATGTCTTCACTGGGTTGGAAGCTAAACACAAAACTTGATAGCAATTCAATATATGAAAAGAAGAAAAAACTCTGCTTCTTTCAAAATGGGAAAATATGAAGGGCCTCTGCATCCGTAATTAAGCTGTCACATTGATTCACTGTGTTTATACTAAATAGCTGGCTGACAACTATCACATTCACTTAAAAACCGTTCCATATCGTTTCCCTCGCTTTAGAAGTTCTTTTAACCCTTCAAATTACTGTGTGGTAACAACTTTTTGGGCAGAACAGATTGCACTCATTTCAAAGAGCCCTAATGATTAAACGTTGCAACAGCTTTTCCGGGTGAGGGCAAGTACTTCCTACTGACCTTTAGAGCATCCGGACAGACAGACAGACACTTAAACAATATGCCTGAAAGACGTACACCAGCAAAGAACGGCGAGTGTAGATAGGACAATAAATAAAAGAAAATGGCAGAGGAAATGGGAAGGTGAAAGAAATGTCGCGTCACAGAACGAATAGAAAGGGCGGGAAGAGGTCGAAAGGGATATTGCATGCGAGAGTACACTTCACTAGCGGCAAACGATTTTCAAGAGACCTGTAGCAAGGCTAGGTCCTCGACCCTCCCTCTGAGCAGCAAGCACCTGATTGGTTAGGAGCTGGTCGCTTCCCATCCCGTTCTTTCTTCCTCCCTCCCCCCCAGGCCGGCACGCTTTATCATTGTACTCTTTTTCTCTTTCTGTGCTAACTTTACAGCGATAAACTTCAACGAAAGGCGTCAGGGGGGAAGACGCGAGTGTGACCACAGAGGGGTTTTATGGGCGTCGAAGGACCGGGGGGAGCAACTGCCAAAAAAATTCAAGCATACCGAAATTTTGGGCGGGAAAGGGGGCTGACAATGCGAAATAATGGTCCAATACAAGCACCAATAACAAAATGCGGTTGATGCCATGGATCAAATTACAACCGAAGAATCAAAGTACCGAAGCCACCTTTCCCTTCCGTACAACTTCCGGACGTTTAACTACGAACTTTGAAAAGCTAGAGGGAGATAATGAAGGTCAACGTCCCCCCCACCAAGCGTACATACAAAAGCGTCATGCCCAAGTAACAATCCCCACCACAAGAAACAAAAATCTTCACTTATACAGATTTAGTATAGTGCATACTGCATAACGATATATCCGGGGAGGGGAGACACCAATATAATAAGATCAATATCAAAACAGACAAGTGACAAAATGCTAAAACGACGTCGTCGCCAACGTATTGGGCATCCATGTTACGAATTATTAATTTGGGCCAAAACCTTTACTTTGTTGATCTATTACTATGTTTACTCACAACAGAATTTATACAGAATAATAATCATAGCCTCTATACAGGCTCTCAGCTTGATTTACTATTGATTCTCATCTAGCCTCTAACCCCAAACGCTCTTGAAATCAAAAGACCGCCACGTTCAAAATGTACGAAAGCCTAGCCTCAACCAAGGGCCGCAAAAATTTAAAGCGCGAAACTCGTATTTTAATTTCACAAAGGGGAAATATAGTGTAACTTTGTGAGATAATAAAATTCACAGCGGTGAAATACGGGGTAAAAACCATCCGCAACCAACGTTTCTGGTATACACAGCCTGGCCAAATACATAATGGAACCTCTGCGAAGATACCCGGCCGGCTTTTTCTCACATGGCAACAAAATGCCAAGGATGATCACAACGAAATACATACTTCAACCATCAGAATTAAAGTAAATGACAATTAATTCTACTACGAATCACATCAAAGCACATGGTTTTAATACTGAAACAACACAGCACATAAGAAAATTACATTCTGTCGACTATGATAGACATAGCCTCCGAGCGTTGGCCAATACAAGCCCACGAGTATTAGTTATGATGCTCTTATTTGTACTCACCTCTGCTGGCCTCTTCGTTCCTTTTACTTCTGCTTTTGCATCACCTCCAGCTTTTTCGTTGTTTTCCGTCACTTTATCTACAGCGACTTCGGCGTTATTCTCCTTAGAACTCATATTTTCTGTGGAGTTTTCCTGCGAACAACTCGTAACACACTTCCAACTGGCTTTGTTCAAAAATGAAGATGGCGCGGGCTTGAAGCTCGATAAACCGGTGATTGGTTGATGACGCAAAGAACTTCTGGAAGCTAGTATTTGATAAAGTCTCGGCAGTGTACCAATGTAAGAAATATTTTATATTATAAAATAAATAATTCAAGTTTGTAATTTGTAACTTTTAAAAAAATAAAATTCCTAACTTACCTCGACGAGGGGTTGGAGAGTACCTGCACAGATCTGGTAAATTTGGGTACAAGACTTTAGATGCGGTCATAGCATAAGCCCGTAACTGGCTTTCCTATCGGACTGTCATATACTCTGTTACTGAAATTCGCCATTTTCACTCTAACAAATGGTATAACTGTTTTCTATAAGAATCATGTGCAACTTATAAATTAGGTAGCATTTAATTTTGTCATTAGTTTGTATATAAATTGTTTATTATTAGTGAACACTTTCTTTTCTAGTTAGTCGGAAGATGTCATCAGCGACAATTAAAATCAAAGCTGATACATATTTCAAATGTTTGTATGTTTATAATGAAACTGTATTTCTCTACCCGTTTTTGTTTGAATTGATTATTACGCCTGAAATTTGGACCAGATCATAAATTCTAGCTTACCCCTCCCCTATCAGAGAATTTTGGCATAAAAATTTTATCTCTGAAGACTTCATGAGTAGCACATGCAGATTAAACATTCTCATGACATTTGTTGTTAGTGTTTAACATGAGTATGGTTTAATAATGAAATAATCTGTAATAATTATAATCAAGACTCTTCTAAGCGCTGTGATTGAATGTTCACTCCTGCGTACAACATAAATTAAACGTTATGGAATTGTCAATTGTCTTCTATGACAAACATATGACGGTTGTTGCTGGTGATGAAAATGATATAACACTTAATATATAAACCCTCAGATTGGGAGTGAGGATCACCAAGGATTTTACGCAAGAAATACGGGTCTTTCTGCATGCTAATTTCTGCCTATTTACTACTCCTCAGAAAAAAAGCGTGTTGGAATCTGTAACCACAGTAAACTATAACAAAGATAAACACTTACACAATTTACTAGATTATTCTATGATTTCCGGTACATTTCCCTATTGCACACGACTGACATCTGTTGTGAAAGTATATTCTTCTAGAACTAAAAGGAAGATGGTGAGTGGTTGTTGAATTTGTTGTGATTCATTTAATAGCTACTGCCATCCTTCTCTTCAAAATACAAATAGTCAACAAATGGTGCGGAAACATGTAGTAAATTTCAGGGGTTCAATTTCAGAAGTAATCTGGAGGTGAACAACAGAAGTCTAGACCAATAAAACACATAAGCCTCACGTGTGCTAGTATTCCAAAAGGTTAATGAGACAATTATAAATTTGTTTAGGTGAACGTACCAAAGCAGAGGCGTACATACTGCAAGAAGTGCAAGAAACACAAGTTGCACAAAGTAACCCAATATAAGAAGTCCAAGGAAAGACAAGCCTCCCAAGGACGACGAAGGTACGATAGGAAACAACAAGGATATGGTGGACAAACGAAACCAATTTTCCGGAAAAAGGTACATTGATTTATTTGACGACTGTAATGTACTGTACTGTAAGGATTCATTCTATGAGTAGTATTTAATATGGAAATGTTTCAGGCCAAAACAACAAAGAAGATTGTGTTGAGAATGGAATGCACTGAGTGCAAGTACCGTAAACAGATCCCTTTGAAACGTTGCAAGCACTTCGAATTGGGCGGAGACAAGAAAAGAAAGGTATGTTCTTTCATGTGGAATGGTCTTTTACACAAGTAGAACTGTATTTATTTATATGTTTCATTAATGATGCTGTCAGTTTAGTGTGTAGCATAAAGTGATTGGATGATAATGAATCCAGACAACTAAATTTTAGAGTAATAGGTGGCTAAGGATGTCGAAGTTAATAGTGCAGAATTCGTGACACAAAGACGAAAAAGTGGTTGATTTGAAAGCATGTGGCAATATGGAAAAATTATAAATCGGTGCTTTATGAAAGACTTGCTTCCATGCAAAACAGTATATGACCTGACTATCATAATCCTTATTATTTTGATGTGTCAGACCAAGTTGTACATCCATACAAAACAGCAGGAAAAATTAATAGTTTGGTATGAGTTTTTAATCTTTACATTTTTATATAGCAGACGGATTCCCAAATGTAATATGCTCTCAGTTTCTTTGGGAATGGTATATTAAATTGGTCAGTATGACACATCACGTTTCAGATGGGGGCAAAGGCCTCCAGATATGTAGAGTAGTCATGAATATACTTAATATGCAGTCAGACAAAAATGGATGATCATCAGTTTACCCCAGGAGGGGGCCTTACATCTCCTCACTGTACAAGACCAGCATCTTATGAAATGTTACACATGGTCTCGGGGAGATGCTTATTGAGAAATGCTTCCTTGAAAGAACATAGAATTGAATTAAGAGGTGAGCAGAATTGGTTAATATGCTCACACAAGCACAGTCATTAATTGCTGGGAACAATCATTGAATCCTCATTTGATTAAAATGGTAATGTTCTAAAAAGGTTATCTACTCTTAACAAGTTTGTTCAACTGATTGCACACTCAGTAAATTGTGATGCTGCTTCTTTCCCCCTTTGAAACATTTAATGTGGATGTAACTACATTGTGAGGTACATACATAATCATAGTTCAGTTAATTTCACTATTTCCCATACCCTGCAGCTTATTATATCTTGATCTTGGTCATGTGTTCCCTACAGAACCAGAATACTGTGATGTAAACACATATCTGTTGAAAAGGTTTTGTGTTGATATCTGATCCAAGAGTACACCACAGAATGGAGGGAAGAATAAAAGCACAGTTCTCTGAACATTTACCCATTTCTGAACTTAAAAGTTTGAAGGGGATAGATTGATAGTATAGAATGTAAAGCAGTAGTTGATACCGAGTGCACAATGAACTAGACTCTCTCCCCCTGCATAGGTCAAGGAAATTAATGGCCTAATTATTAATGGGTAGGATAGGACAGTTTATGTTATCTGAGGTTGATCCTTAAATATTGATGTTGAAACATGATACCTTGCAGCAAGTCTTAACTTCATATGAGTTTGTTAGTTAAGTGATCAAAGTGTCATGTAGAATCAAATTGTCAATCAAAGCCCAGAATTTGGTCTGAGCTCCTACAGTTCAGTAATGGTTTAGCTTGAAAAGCATTATGGGCATATTTATGTAGATTCATTTGTTACATAAATTGATACTTCTGAATTTCAGCTTAGATACCTAATTTCTAATCTTTATGTGTCGAAAACACTACTTAAATGACGTGCTCAGCCTGTAAATTTGGTACCTGTCGGTATGAAGTGGTCATTAGCACAGTGTTTCCTCATCATTTTGCAAGCAGCAGTGAACTAGAGTAAATTAGCATATACTACTTAAAAATAAGCCCTGCAATGACTTAATGGAGCATTGTTCAAGATAACAGGAGTCAGAATATTTTGGCAAAGAAAAGTATTTTAGAAAGTTGGTTTATCTTGTGGGAAAATTGTTAAGAATTATTAATATACATATCAGTGTTACCTGAAAATTTTTTATAGAAAATTCCTGAGTTTGACCAGCTCCAACATATTCATATTCTTAGTTATTTTCAGAATATCATGATTTTAAAACATGAGGTTATATCATGAAGAATAATTGTACAAATTACAATCTTGTAAGAAATACAGTAATGTCTTTGTGGGAAAATTTTATATAATTGGGCCCAAAAAGTTGTTTGAACTGTGTTGTTGCGTGAATAATGTGGTATCACTCAATATGCTGAGTTATTGAAAGACACTAAGAGAATTTTCAACATACTCTGTTTGAAACCATTTCTTGCACTTGAGTTCATGTGCCTTTTTTTACAGGTTTGTTTGTAGTGTAATTAATTAATGCTGTCTTGTAATTCATTAACGTTTTCTTTATTTTTCAGGGCCAAATGATCCAGTTCTAAAAGCTGTGAATAAGACCCAATAAAAAAGTTATGTAATACAAATGCTTTTTATTTCAGTAGGTAATACATTTTATACATGTTTAAATAGTTTTATCTAATCACTGAAGCTGCTTTCTGAATGTTCATTGGACACATTTTGGGGTTGAGATTTTGGCATAGCCATGTGTGGGTTGCTGGAACAGAAAACATGTTTTCATTAATAAGTGACATACAATATAAAATTGTATAGGATGCTGTAAATATATAGCATTGAGAACTTTTCTACATATTTCACAAATCTGTGACTAATCCAAGGAAATAAATATACTTGTATGTGCATTTGGAACATTGTTCTGCACCAGATTTTCAGTACAACAGTATTCAGTGTGGATGCCAAGCCTGGTAGTTTCCTCAGCTCTGTAACTTACCCCAAAATGGTTCTTTGAACAGATTCTTACAAGTTAAATTTTGGAAGTAATTCCATGTCTTGGATTAGAGGCAATGAAAATCAGGAATGTTTGGTATAATTATCCTTGATTCATTTAAGGTGGATGTGTATTTTCATTCTGCTCCCAAAATAAAACATGGGTACTTTGCCATTTGTGTCTGCAAAGCTTCATGAAATAGTTAATTGCTCAAGAAATAAGAAGATATGCTTAGGTGTTAGAAATGTAATCACAAATTTTTTCAAACATAATCGGGGAGTAGATGAAGGTTGAACTGTTTTCTTTCACCTGTGACATGGAATTTACATGCAAAGAACAGGAAAACTACGTCATACACAATTGTAAATGGTTAATGACATGATACACACACATTTCATTTTACAATTCATTTACAAGATTTCCAAAACACACAATCAACTCTTACTATGGAGATCACAATAACATGAGGCACACTAGCAATGGATATATTTTGCATTTCTGCAGCAGTCTTCTACCTGGAAGGGCAGGACATACACTGGCAACATATAGATGCTTTTGCCCACAGTAAACTGGTGGAATTTTTTCCATAAGGTGTTACAAGAAATAGCTTTGTTTTTCAAGTTTTGCAAACTAGTAGGTAACATGTTAAGTGGCTTCTCTTAGATGTAAACACTTTGCAGAAGGTGACAGTAAACTTGCAGATTCTGAATCTTACAGTGAATATTAGGGTGGTAAGTAGTAAAATTAAATTAAAAAGATTATCAAATTTATTTATGCAGCAAAGGACTATGGTACTAACAAAAAATATGCATTGAAAAGGTTACATTGCTTATCCCAGTTTATTTTACAATAAACCTTTCCTACAAGATGCATTTTGATTGTGGTCATTCCTTTATATAACTGATTTGCCCACCTTATGATTGCAAAACTTAGTCAATAATCTTGAAAGTTTTATCTAATCACTGAAGCTGCTTTCTGAATGTTCATTGGACACATTTTGGGGTTGAGATTTTGGCATAGCCATGTGTGGGTTGCTGGAACAGAAAACATGTTTTCATTAATAAGTGACATACAATATAAAATTGTATAGGATGCTGTAAATATATAGCATTGAGAACTTTTCTACATATTTCACAAATCTGTGACTAATCCAAGGAAATAAATATACTTGTATGTGCATTTGGAACATTGTTCTGCACCAGATTTTCAGTACAACAGTATTCAGTGTGGATGCCAAGCCTGGTAGTTTCCTCAGCTCTGTAACTTACCCCAAAATGGTTCTTTGAACAGATTCTTACAAGTTAAATTTTGGAAGTAATTCCATGTCTTGGATTAGAGGCAATGAAAATCAGGAATGTTTGGTATAATTATCCTTGATTCATTTAAGGTGGATGTGTATTTTCATTCTGCTCCCAAAATAAAACATGGGTACTTTGCCATTTGTGTCTGCAAAGCTTCATGAAATAGTTAATTGCTCAAGAAATAAGAAGATATGCTTAGGTGTTAGAAATGTAATCACAAATTTTTTCAAACATAATCGGGGAGTAGATGAAGGTTGAACTGTTTTCTTTCACCTGTGACATGGAATTTACATGCAAAGAACAGGAAAACTACGTCATACACAATTGTAAATGGTTAATGACATGATACACACACATTTCATTTTACAATTCATTTACAAGATTTCCAAAACACACAATCAACTCTTACTATGGAGATCACAATAACATGAGGCACACTAGCAATGGATATATTTTGCATTTCTGCAGCAGTCTTCTACCTGGAAGGGCAGGACATACACTGGCAACATATAGATGCTTTTGCCCACAGTAAACTGGTGGAATTTTTTCCATAAGGTGTTACAAGAAATAGCTTTGTTTTTCAAGTTTTGCAAACTAGTAGGTAACATGTTAAGTGGCTTCTCTTAGATGTAAACACTTTGCAGAAGGTGACAGTAAACTTGCAGATTCTGAATCTTACAGTGAATATTAGGGTGGTAAGTAGTAAAATTAAATTAAAAAGATTATCAAATTTATTTATGCAGCAAAGGACTATGGTACTAACAAAAAATATGCATTGAAAAGGTTACATTGCTTATCCCAGTTTATTTTACAATAAACCTTTCCTACAAGATGCATTTTGATTGTGGTCATTCCTTTATATAACTGATTTGCCCACCTTATGATTGCAAAACTTAGTCAATAATCTTGAAACCATGCAGTGTATTGGAATATAAAATCATGCATACAAACAAAACTGTTTACACTTGATAGGATACTAAAGCCAAACGTGTTTCAACCTCAAGAGGTCATCATCAGTGGCAAAACAAATTAATTCATATAATACAATTGAAGACTGGTTTTCTACAGAGCAAAGAATGTATGTAGTTTACAAAACCATACTTGTGTAACACCTTACTGGATGTTAATTGCACAGGAGTTGGTGTATTAAATTGAGTACTCAGCCTTTATGTCCACTGGCCTGATTACTGTTGGTCTGTGGTGAGCCGTGGTTGCGTTGTCTGTGCCTGTGAACTTCAATGATGCGTGGGCGTTACTGTCAGTTTCAAAGAATGTGCAGGGTATATATCAACTCTGGTAATCATTGTGGTCAACTATTGCATGTGAAATTGACATTTTCTGTTGCCAGATCAAATAACACATTGGAGTCGTGAGCATCCTGTTCATTTATGATAAATTGCTTTTTGCTGGTTTTATAGATATGAAATTTGTCTAAAATGTCAAGCACTTTACCTTTCGAGGCTATTCTTAACACGTCCATTATATCTTCCATGGGGCCATGTTTGTGTCCATGGTCAAGGATGTGTTGAGCATATGTTGATTTTGTTACATTGAATATAATGTCGTGGACATGCTCTTTAAATCTGGTTTTAAATTCGCTACTGGTTTGGCCAATATAGACCTTGCAGCTACTGCATTTTAACTGATATACACCTCTCTTATTGTATTTATTATCCTGTCTTCTTGAACTGCATCAGAACTTTATGGTGTTATTGACTTTGTAGGCTACTTTTGTGTTCTTAAATATTTTGGTGAGTGTTCTAATACTAGTCCCCACTTAATGGTACATGCACCTTGTCGTGGTGGTGGGGCTCGAGTACCTCAGTGACCCCAAGAGCTATGCTGGTGGTAGGATAGCTACTGGTAGGGCCTCCCTAGCCAGATTGGTCGAGGGGGAGAGGTCAGACTAAGACAGGCACCCTGGTCCTCCAGGTTGGGTTAACAACCTTGCACCGTAAAAAGGAATATGTTTCGAAACCTCAATCAGGGCCTCAGACAGAATGGACCTAACAATAGGACCAAATGGATGAGGAGAATTGAGGAGGCCATGGACCGGAGAGCCATAAAAGAAGAAGTTCTAATACTAGTGTCAAAGAATGTGAAACTGGACCATATTTTACTATTTGTGGTGGGTTGGGGTACATTGATAGGGGTTTGTGTGTTTTAATTAGGTTATAGGATATTTTGATGCCTCTGGAATTATAACCGTTATTGTATCTTACTTCTTGGACAACATAATTTGTTTTGCCACTGATGATCTCTTGAGGTTAAAATGCGTTTGGCACTAGTGTCCTTTCAAGTGTAAACAGTTTAGTCAAACTTAAAAATTTGCAGTGCTGTTATATCACTTCCACATTTCTGATTCCTTAGGTACATCTTGAATTTGGTACATAACCCAAAGTATCAAGAACTCAAAAGATACTTTCCTGGTTGAAAGACATCTACTCACCCATATGTTTCAAAATGAGAAGGCACACATTCTGAAATAACTTATGGCACCAACTCATTTTTATAATGAACAGTGAATTACCCTATACAGAAATATTCAAAACAGTGATGAGCTTCAGAAGGGGGGGAATGGTTTCTACATAAAAACTGATCAGATGAACTGCTAAAGTATGTTCAGGAGGAAAAGTAAGCAGCCTTAAAGCCAAGCTTTGTTATTCGAAGTGTTACTGCATGGCATTGGAACAGGAAAAGGGCTCATACTATAAATGTTTTCATATGCACAGATTACAAGGCACTATGCAGTGATAATACAACCCAGCAATCTATTTTTAGCAATATTTCTTGTGTATGTAGGTTTCCAGTACGTTAACCCTCTTAGTTCCAAATCCTATTTCCACTGTTGTGGTCTAAAACACCCAGGCAAATTTTCACGTATTTGAACCTTCAAATGCAAAAATCACTTGAAACAATTTCATACGTTTGGCGCCTGTGCTGTTATCTGGTCCTGAACTACAACAGTTTTTGTAAAACAATGTACACGTACCTTTGACCTGGAACCTGCCATTGCGTAGGTGAAAAATTTACAATAAATGTACTTACATGTAACACACTATAGACAACAACGAAAAAAATATAAGTACTACATAAACTTTATAATAAAAATAAAATTACGAAGCTAAACACTTAGCATAATTAAATCGAAAACCACGAGCAAAAAAAAAACGTTAACGCGCCACAAGGTAAACAAATCAGATCAACGTAATTAATTTATTCAATAACATTTATGTTGGCCTTTAAGATCCATCTCTTGAGGAAAATATGAGTTAAACTTCGTTCAAACTACCTTCCACAGCCTTATATTGCCATCTGGCAGCCATATATGTAATTAGATGATCAGATATACCCAGCACCAATGGATCGGCTGCTGAGCGTTCTAAAAACATTACTTGTTGGCCTATAGGAGGCATCTGTTGAGGAAAATATGAAATGAAGTTTAAAGTAGCAGCCTTGTGCTGACATCTAGGAATCTCATATGTAATTACATCAGCAAAATTAGCCTGCGCAGATATATCCACTACCTCAAAATTCTGGACTACTGCTATGATTGCAACTTATTATACAACGAAAATTGTTTCATACATGTAGAAAAGTTTATGACCTGTTTACATACCAATTTTTCATGAGAATAACTACAATGGTTCACCAGTTTCAAGTATTGCTATTAAAAAAAATTAATTTCACATTACCAATCTGGTTCTACTACTGAGTAAAACATGGGAATCTATAGAGACAATGGCACAAGCAATAAGTTAATTTATTGTTGTATACTTTTCTCAATATCTTTGAAGCTAGTTTTCCACTTAAATATAATAGTACGGGGAAAGTAAAGTAGTCTATATGCACAGTAGGAACAGTATGGACCCAAACATAAGCATTCTACAGAAAGTACTATAATATCCTGAATAATATTTTAAGAGGTTTGAAAGCAGCACTACAGCACACTTACAGTAAAAAATATTTAGCTGAACAAATGCCTTGTCTTCTAAAAAACAATGAAAGAAGTAAAGGATCCAATAACAGTTTAAATTTTTTTCTAATAATTACTGAAAGCTTAAGTTACATCAAGTGAAGATGCTATTTCATTTTTTAAAAGATACATTTCCTGGTATTAAAATTATTCAAAGCATAATACATTCTCTAAAATCAAAAAAACTTGTCAGGCTATAATGAAGTAACAAATAAAATTATGAAGGTTTATTCAGGTTAAATTAGACACCAAATTTCACTATTAACTTCCTTTTCTGAAGTTCCTGAGAAGGTTGTGTATAATAGGTTCAACATTCATATGCATATTAACATATTGGTCTCTGAACAATTTGGTTTCAGGAAAGTTATATCCATTGAACATGCAGCATTCAAACTAACAGACAATGTGTTAAAATCCATTAACCAAGAAATACATGTTTGAGGAATATTTTATAATTTAGTAAAAGCTTTTGACTGAAAAGTAGTTATCTGTTTAATAAAGGGCAATGGACAATGTCCAAATAAACTATGAGTATTAACAACACTATTTGAAACTAAATGATGATATTCCTGAAGTGCATGTTATTAGAAACCAATTACAAAGTCAAACAATGCCATATGAATATATGTTTCCCATTGGCTTATTCTCATTTTATCTTGTTCTTTCCACTTTCTTAACTATGCTATGATTCTGGTATCTCACTTAGGAATACTTGCCACTTCTGCTTGGTGAAAATACAGTTTAATTCTCTTGTTTCTATAATCATATTGTTTCAATGATGAAAATATCTATGTTACTAAGAGTATAAAGAAATAAATAAATCTGAGTATAAACATGGTTAATAGCACATACACAAATTTAAAGATCTGTAAATTATGATAACAGAAGTACAGCCACTGCCTGAAACACTTTGTTTCAACAAATAAACCTTGTTATTAAATAATAAATCAACCACTGTCACATTGTACATACACATTAACTGTGATATAAAAACAATTTACTTACTCCTCCAGAATACTTGGGTCAAGACCTTCATATTGCATTTTCAAACGTACTGCTTGAACCGGAACACCAACTTGGATCATTCGGAAGAACCTGGCATACTGAGAATCATTAGCAGCCATAGTAATTTCTTCTTTAGGCTCTGTTTGAAGGTTAGCTATTTCTGTCTGGAGTGTATTAACTTCTTTCATATCTTGTAGTCTGGTTTCATCTTTATCATACTGCATCTTTCTCTCAGGATTCTTATCAACCTCTTGCTCCACTGTCACATTTTCAAGTTCAGAAATTGAACTCAACTGTAAAATGTTTCACATTACAGTTGACATGAAGTAAGAGACTTAATACATATGTTTTCAACATGTTAAATTCAGCAAATAGGTAGTACAGTAAAGAAATTACCTTTGCTTCCAAAATACTAAGTGAAGCCTCAAGCTTCTGTATCTGTGTATCAAACTTTTCAAGACGGAGTTCACATGAATGTGAAAATTTATTAAGGAATGAAACCGTGTTTGTGATGAAGTGATTTATAAATGCAAGTGTCCTCTTCTGGTGAATGGCACCAACCTTGGAAAAATCATTTTACCAAAATAAAGTCAACAAATATCTGTGAAAAACAGTATTAGAAAGGTAATTACTATGAAGAAATGAAGTTATTCAGTACTTTCCAACTGACTTTAAAAGTGTGAATCATGATATAAAGGGATTTAAGCTAGCACTGAAATGATGAACTTTTAACTCCTAATCTGTAGAATTTACTTCAACTCAAAATTTTGAAATATTGTTCAGCAAGTACCTGTTGGAATTGTGTATTTACATTTGCATTGGTACTATATTAGCAGTTAAGTGTTTGTATTCACATTATGATGTGTTCAACATCCTTGGCTTGTACTATGAAGGATTTATGAAATGCAAATAAAGTCTATTCAACTGTTCTATTTAGTCTGTTCATAAAAGAAAAGATTGCATCTGCCCTGATGATGAAGGCAGTAAGAACCTCTACAACATCGATCAGTTTCAATCAGACTACACGGCACAATATCCCAAAAGACAGACGTCTTCAAGATTGCATCCACAAGCAGGCTCCTGTTATAATGGTGATAAAACTTTGGGGCTCATCAATGAGTAGTTAGCTGATGTATGCATAAAAGTGGTACAATGTATTTTTAAAATACAACTTCCAACATGTGTCCCGACAATACTAGCTTCCTCTACGAAGAAAAAGAGAAACATTTTTAATTGCATGGTAAAATATATGCAATTATGTAATATTTCTATACTACATCGCGTAAAACGATTCAGCGATATATTTTATTATTGTTATATCGTGTACCTGGAACGATATTAATGATGTACGATTTTAATGTAAAATGGTTTACCTGAGTGTAGTCCACACCCGGGCCAATTATAGGTAACCCATCAACATCCATCCTAAGATTTATCAATTTTCTGCTAAAATTAAATATGAATTCATTTTACAACCTGCGATGTCACTGGCTTATTCTGCATGGCGCCATCTTGATTCATTTGTAACAAATGAAACATAAGACGCGCACAATTTGTAAACTGAAGATCGCCAGGAAGGAAATTGTAGTGTCGTTATAATAGATTTATTCATAACAAAGTATTCATTCATGTAATACAATATAATCTTGAGAGTACAATGAATTCATCTCCTCCTCTGGATGCAGTCTATCAAGCGGTGTTTACTTTATATCACAATCCAGATCCAACAGAGAAAGAAAAAGCATCGATATGGCTAGGAGAGTTACAGAGATCGGTTAGCACTGTCATTTTTATACTGTTTTATAAATTACGTTAGGTATAGAAGCACGGGCATAACTGGACTGATAAACTAATAAGCACTAATATTTGGAGTATTTAGGTATCGTGATCTAGACGCGCAATTATGTGCTTCCAAGTTCACATGTTGCTGTTTTATATAAATTCATTATATGAAAACACACCAGCTTCGCCTTGTGTTTCAGGTTTACTCCTGGAAAGTTGCAGACGAAATGCTTCAGCAAAAGAGGGACTTAGAATCATGTTATTTTGCAGCTCAGACAATGCGCACTAAAATCCAGTTATCATTTCATGAGCTTCCAGCTGAAGCACACAATTCTTTGCGTAAGTCACTTATGGAACATATAGGACAAGTGAATGATGCTACAAACACAGTTATAGTCACTCAGGTAAGGGTTTAGTAAGGAATAACCCATTACTTTATTTGATAATGTTACATATTTTTAATTATTGTGTTATTCTTTATTGGTTCTGTGTGTATGTTTCAGCTGTGCTTAGCGTTAGCAGATTTAGCACTCCAGATGTCAACATGGCAGAAACCAGTTGTAGATCTTATTGGTGAATTTGGCCAGGTAAATGTGTGGCCTCTGTTAGAGATTTTGACTGTCCTACCGGAAGAAGTGAATTCATGGTTGCTGAGGCTTGGAGCTAATAGACGACTTGAAATAATGCAAGAACTTGGTTCCACAGCTCCTACTGTTACTGAGTTCTTGGTTAGTTCCATTCTTGCTAAATGAATATGACCTCTAGGGTACTATATTAGTGTGCACATAGTGCTGTATATATATATTTTTCTTATGTTGACGTTCTTATGATTGAAAATCAGAGCATTTTAATCCAGTAGGATTTGAGGTTCTCATTGTGGTGAGAATGAAGATTACTGTCTTCTGGGGTGTAGTATCGTGTAGTCTGGTAGAAGTTTACCAACGTTTCAGAGGTTGTTGCTGCCTGCATCATCAGGGCCTATCTTCACCTTGATGAAATTGTGCACCTTCTATGGGACTTTTATAACCATGTTTACAAGAGTCCTCCAGTGGGCCCTATCCTGAGCCAGTTGAGGCCAGTATATTCTTTCACACTTATTTTTGAAAGTTTCATTTTAATGTTGTTCTGTCTGTACCTATATGTCTGTCATGATAATGTAATCTTAAAATTTCTTCACATAAACTTTTAATGTTCTTACATGTACTGATACCATAATTTACTCAATGGAAACCAGACTATTAAGCTTAGTCCCTGGATTACATCTGTCTTTAATCCAGCTATTCAGGTGTCCGTAAAATATCTCATTTTGCAGGTTGTATAAATTATAACCTGGAAGTTATTATGTGTTAAATTGTGTGTACTGTTATAGGTATTTTAATGTGTATTTTTATTGTTTTCAGAAAGTGTGTCTTTCAAATGGTGGTGAAAATCCTCACATACATATCCGGATATTACGATGCTTCACATCTTGGGTCTCCATCCAAGCCATCGCATTACCAGATGTAGCCGAGAATATAGTTGTTGCACACGCCTTTCATATTCTGTCCAACCAACAGGTACTACAGAGTCCATCACTCAGTACCCCAGTTTGTTCGAGTAAGGTGCTTCCTTGACTATCTCTTTGTGAAAATATTTTATGTTATGTTCCTCCTTAAGTATGTGTATACTGCTGTTCAAGAAAATAGACAACATGTTGTATGTTGCAATAGAGTTGTTGATAGAACGTCAGGCCTCAGCAAGTTTTAGAAATCTAGATTATAGCATCCTGAAATCAGGAGCTTGGATTAAAATTAAAAAAAAATTAAAATTCGTAATCTTTAGTCATTGATTAGAAAATATTTAAAAATGTCACAGCATAATGAATTATATATTTGAATTGTCACTTATGCAAATTCAGATTGATTTTTTAGGGCAGTGATAAACTTCAACAGATTTTGATTTCTTGATAAAGAATCAAGCATTCAACATGTGTCTAGAGTATTGTGTTTTCAGTAACATCATAAAGGGAGTCTGTGTAACATGTGTGAGTAGGCTGTGTTTGATTACATATCACTAGTTAGTCGTTTGCAACATTCCCTGCTTTTGTCTGATGGCTTATCATGTAGTTTCAATAGAAAGGCTGTCAGTATAAACTGCATTAATGAATTTTGAATTCTTGAGTACAGAAAAATCTTTGAATAGTTTTGTACATACTAGTTTTAACATTTTTACATTGTGGTAACTTGGAGTCTGGGATTTGTTGAGCTTTGTGATACAGTTTTTAAAATATTTTTTGATACATTTTCAGTACTACATTTGTAAATAGTGTGTTAGCTACCCAGCAATGTGTTATTTTTTGCTTCATGTTCATGTTTGAGGAATTTCATATTAAGATTCACCAGCACATAATTCCCTGATCTTTATGAATATTTTGATATGCAAAGTGTTTGATCACTTAGTTCAACAGAAATTACATAGATGGAACATACATATATATATCTTTATGAAATAATTGATCAAAATCACATTGTACGAGGTTGCTCTTAAAAACATTTGAGTGTTAGTGATTTGTAGTGGTGAAATGAAATGTTTTATCACTGTAGCTGGTCATTGGCACATCAGCAGAGCATGAATGTCAGGAGTTAGGAGGGTAGTATTTATTAATATTTAATGTTATAAATATCAGAGTGAGAAGTATAACTAACCACAGTTCCATTTAGTGGAATCCTTCCTTAGAGGCTAATAGTCAGTCAGCTAATAAATAAAATAAAGAAGTTATTCATCCTATGTGGTATCAAAAGGTTTTTTACTATGTTGACTAGAGCTGG